CGGCGCGTCGACCGCGGGCGCGGGACGACGGGTCGACGTCGATCGCGTTCGCGCGCGGCGAAAAGTGACGCGACGGCGCGTCGACGCGCGACTGGGCGTCACCGCTCGCGGTGTCCCATCGCGTCGTCGGTCGACGCGTCGACGCGCGCGCGTGGTATTACAACCCCGACGTGACGCCTCGATAAGGCGAGCGCGCGGCGGCCCTAAACTCGACCCTTTCCACCGCGACGGTTCACCGCCGTCGCCGCCGCGCCGTCACCGCCGTCGCCCCGACGGATCCACGGGAAACGTCCCTCGAGCGTCGTCGTCGAGCGCGAGCGCGCGCGCGAGGTCCACGACGTCGCGTTCGAAGCGACGGAACGCCCCGCGCGCCGTCGCGTCGCCACGCGCCTCCGCCGCGCCGTCGACGTCCCGTCGCTTCGCCCGCGGATGATCCCTCGACGCCGACGCCGCGGACGCGACGTCGATCGCGCGCTTCGCCCCCCGCGCGTCCGTCGACGACGGCATCGCGCGCGCCATCGCGCGCGCGTCCGTCGTCGTCCACGTCCGCGCGCCCGTCGTCGTCGTCGTCGTCATCGTCCCCATCGCGGCGTCACCCCCATCCGCATCGACGTCGCGCGCATCCACCGCGCGCGCGCGCGCGGGGTCCAACGTCGCGTCCACGGCCGCGGGCGTGGACGACGCCGCGTCCACGGCCGCGGACGCGAACGCGACGCGATCGATCGCGATCGATCGCGTCGGCGGCGCGTCGGCGGCGGCGTGTGTCCGACCGACCGTGTGTTCGACCGACCGACCGTGTGTTCGACCGACCCTGTGTTCGACCGACCATGTGTCCGACCGACCGACCATGTGTCCGACCGACCATCGCTCCGACCGACCGACCATGTGTCCGACCGACCATCGCTCCGACCGACCGACCCTGTGTCCGACCGACCATGTGTCCGACCGACGCGCGCACACCCCTAGCCATTTTCGGGTGACTTCAGGGGATTTGTAGACTTTCTCGGGTACGTTCGCATTTACAGAGCTCCCACGCGTACAGATCGCCAGAACGCGTCGACGCGCGCGAGAAACGACGTGAAGACGCACAGGACGTGAGACTCGTTCGTATTACATGTCGCGTGTCGTCGGCGGTGTCTGTTCGTGGCGCTGAGAGCGAGTGATGATCGTGCGCGCTCCTCCAGGTCCAAGGCTGGAGATGCGCCAACGCGGCCGCGCGCGCGCACGCTGGGTTGCGCTTTGGAAGTGACCCGGAGGTCGCCTCGTTTCACCCATTGTACCTTCTGTTGCTGGCGGAAGATACACGAACGCGTTATTAACGGCTTCTATGAACGTCTCCGCGTGCACGTTGAGCGGCCCACGCGGGGAAGTCTGTCATGCCCAAGCAATGGCGCAAAATTTCATCGTCGTCTCGAATGTGGAGGTACACGGCGTATTCATGCATGTATGCATATCCATTTATCGCTCGTCCGTGGCAGGTGCCGATCGTCTCCGCGTTCGCGCTCGTCGACGTCCACACCCTCACTCGGGCTGTCCCTTGCATTCAAAAAGAATTTCACCATCGCTCGTTCCCGCGTCGAGTGGCGTCGCTATAGCCGCCGCGAACGTCTCCTCGCGCGGAGACGACGATTCTTCGCGCGCCACCACCGCGCGGCGGCGAGCGCGCCACCATAGTGACGCGGCGCGACGCGCGCGCTCTTCTCGCCACGCAACTTACCCGAGAAAGTCTACAAATCCCCTGAAGTCACCCGAAAATGACCAGGGGTGACGCGCGCACGCGTGTGTGATGTCTGTCCCGTGCGTACATCACGTCCACGAACGCGAGATGACGGGCGATGATGACCGCGAGACGCGGACGGACATCGCACGGACACGGGTGCGTGATGTACACGGACGGGAGATGACCACAGTACGAGCACACGCCGCCCCCCCACCGCGTCGGTGACCCCGACACACGCGCGCGCGATGGCGACGTGGGCGGACGACGCGGATGAGCTCCCGCCCCCGATCGTTCCCGCCCCGGCGCCCGCGAACGCGGTGACGGCGAACGCGGAAAAGACATCCGCGGCGAACGCGCAGAAAACGTCGGGATACGTCCCGCCGCACCTGCGAAATCGCGGCGCGCGAGATGGGGCTTCGGCGCGCGGCGGCGGATCTTTTCACGGTGCGTCGACGACGCGATCGCGCGCGCGCGACCGCGTGCGGTGGTGTGCGCGCGATGTGATGGATTCGGAAGAAATACACGCGCGGTGACGGCGACGGCGGGGGGCGGGGACGGCGTGTGGACGCCATGGGGGCGATGCGACGGCGCGGGGACGTCGTGGGTAAACCCCGGGTTGCTGGGTTGGCGCGATCGACGGTGGGGGCGCGCGGGCGCGTGGACGTGGGTATGGAGACCACCGCGCGGACGCGGTGTTCGCGTCGACGCCGCGGGACGGGCGCGATGGATGGGCGAGACGACTGACGAGAGTGAACGATCGCGCGCGCAGACGATCGTCGAGGCGGCGGCGGCGGATGGGACACGGGACGCGGCGGCGGCGGATGGGGTGGTGGCGGCGGCGGTGGCGGCGGCGGCAGATTTCAACGGGGGGAAGATTACAGTGGTACGTCGTTCGGACGGCGGGAAGATCGCGGCGGCGGTGGTGGGGGGGGTTGGGACACCGGCCGCTCGCGGTTTCGCAGAGAGGAAAACCCATTCGCGCAGCAAGAAGCCGACGAAAAAGCGGCCGAGGCGAACGATCCCGATTCGGAGGCGACGAAGATATTCACCGGTGAGAACAGTGGTTTGGACTTTGACTTATACGAGGACATTCCCGTGGAGACGAGCGGGCGAGACGTCCCGGAACCCATCGGGAACTTTGCCGACCTCGATTTGGGAGCCGCGGTGAACAAAAACGTGCAGCGGTGCAAATTCAAAAAGCCGACGCCGGTACAGAAATACGCCATTCCGTCCGCGCTTCAAGGGAGAGATTTAATGGCGTGCGCGCAGACGGGCTCGGGTAAAACCGCCGCTTTCTGCTTCCCCATCATCGCCGGCATCCTGAAGAAGGGCTTGCAAGGCGGTCACATGAACCGCAAGACGTATCCGCTCGCGCTCGTGCTCTCGCCGACGCGCGAGTTGGCTAGCCAGATTCACGAAGAATCTCGCAAGTTTGCGTATCAAACTGGTGTCGCCTCGTGCGTCATTTACGGTGGCGCCCCGGCGGTTGAGCAGTTTCGCGCCATGGAGCGCGGTTGCGACTTGCTCATCGCCACTCCGGGTCGTTTGATCGATCTCATCGATCGCGCGAAGATTTCGCTCAGTCGATGCGTCTACCTCGCTCTCGATGAGGCTGATCGTATGTTGGACATGGGTTTCGAGCCACAAATTCGACAAATTGTTGAACAGCGCGACATGCCGCCGTGCGGCGAACGCCAGACGATGCTCTTCTCCGCCACCTTCCCGCGCGAGATTCAGCGAATGGCTGCCGACTTCCTGGACGACTACATCTTCCTCACCGTCGGTCGCGTCGGTTCGTCCCACGCCTTGATCACGCAGAGTGTTGAACGAGTCAACTCGTACCACGAAAAGAGCGAAATGCTCCTCGACCTCGTCGAGGCTGTTCCGGGCTTGACCCTCGTCTTTGTCGAGACGAAGAGAGGTGCGGATCAATTGGAGGACTTTTTGTTCACCAACGGAAAGCCGGCGACGAGCATTCACGGCGACCGAACGCAACAAGAGCGCGAGGCGGCGCTCAAGTCGTTCCGCTCGGGTAAGACGCCGATTCTCGTCGCCACGGATGTCGCCGCGAGAGGTTTGGACATTCCGCACGTCACCCACGTCATCAACTTTGACCTGCCATCGGATATTGACGACTACACGCACCGCATCGGTCGTACCGGTCGCGCCGGGAAGAAGGGTCGCGCCACGGCGCTCTTTTTGGAGTCCAAGGATGGTCAAATCGCGCGTTCGCTCGTCGACCTCATGTCCGAGGCGAACCAAGAGGTTCCGACGTGGTTAACACAAGTTTCTGGGAATTCTTTCGGCGGCGGCGGTCGTCGTCGCGGCGGCGGCGGCGGCAATAGGTTTGGTGGGAGAGACTATCGCTCCGGCGGCGGCGGCGGCGGCGGCGGCGGCGGCGGTTGGGGTCGGGAGGGTTGATCACCCTCGACCCTTCCCAAACGACGCACGCTCACTCACATCGCGTTGTTACACTCACATTCACAGTTATCACGAGCGCGACGTCACGACGCGCGACGCGACGCGCGGACGCGTTCGACGCGGCCCCTATCGCGCACGCTCCATATTGTGTACAATATAACCCCAACACAATACCCCATCACGTCACCACCCCCGTTGACCCATAGACTCGGTCGTCACACCGTTCGCTTCGCTAGAGTATTGAGAATATTCTCCGGTCGTTCGTCGAGGCACCCACACAATCGCGCGCGTCGCGTCATGAAGTTTGGTCAACTCTTCGCCGCGTCCACGGCGTCGACGGCGCCGAGCGTGCGGGAACAGGTGCGCGCGCGCGTGGGGCGTCGACACGGCGTCGCGACGACGATCGCGGCGACGATGACGCGGGGTGAATTTTCAGGGTGAATATTCAGATGCGAGGTGAATATTCAGGGTGAATATTCCCTCGATGGGGGCGACGACGGGCGCGACGGCGTCGATGGCGCGGCGCGGCGCGCGGTGCGGGATGCACACCGCGCGGAAGATGTGCGGCGGCGG